AAGATAATCAATGGGCAAAAAATCCGACACACATACACCCACCACACAAAGCAAATGAAATATTAAATAAAATATATTACAAATGCCTTAAACAAACAACAATTCCTTCATATTTCTGCCTTTTTTCTCAGCCGCAAATAATTTCGGCTTTGTTTGTTCGATGCTACGCGCTACCATTTTTTGTTGATTGTTGGTGTTCGAGAGCGGTTAGCTGGTTGTGGGAAATTTAATTTGTCGATTTCTTTTTTTTCTCGATTGACTTCAATTGAGGCGGCTATAAAAACACTCATCTTAATTTTGTTGGTTTTTTTTTATTTCCATTGATCATTTTTGTTCCTCCTTTTTCTTCGGAATACTTGAACGAAACAGACAACGATGACAACCAATAAAACTACGCTGAAGTTGGGAAATTCTTTGACCAAAAAAAAAACGATTCTTCCAGACAAATGACACTATATCAATTTTTGTGTGTACACTGTACATTACAAAAATTAACAGTCATAATGAAGGCATAAGAACAAGTAGCTCAAAATATGATGGAATAAATGATTCCCGAATTTTATTTACCGACATAAACAGATATACAAATAAACAAGTGAATTATCTAGCGTGTGATGGATTCCATTATAGAAAAAAGCCGATCGGACGGTTAATGTAGAGTGCGCGAGAGGCGAGAAGCAAAAATTACGGAAAATGATAATAAAATGAGTGCTGATGAGCTGCAAGTTACGTTCTCACACTTCTTATTCGCTTGTCGGCTCTGTCGTCCAACAAATATCCAAAATAAAGATAAATACCCACACTTTATAACAAAGACACATCATGAATACAATGTACCAACCGGAAAATCAAAGATATTCTCAACAACAACATCAACACACAGCAACAGCAACAAACCGACGAAAAGAAGTAACATAGCGCGTTAAGCGAGTTGTATAAAATGTAAATGACAATACACATTTTCTCGCACCATCATCATCATCATCAATCGGCCGACACACACATACACATCACATTTCATAGACATCTTTGTCGACATTGTAAATGACCAATAAATAAAACTAACATCAAAATAAAATAGATCTACCGCGTTTAATTGTAGCATTACGATATGATCGAGACGAAGAATATCGGAAACAAGACAGACAACGAATGAGATAGAGAGAGAGAGCGAAATGAATTAACGATCATGTGAACGTTGACGTTCACATTAGGGTCCACTCAATAAAGTAGTACAATTTTTAGTGTATGTGTAGTGAACCATCGACGCATAGCGAGCAGTAGCCAAACACCGCGAAATTAGACCAAAACCCATACAAAACCATGTGAAACGAACATTGAAATAAAAAAAAAGACCGACCGATGAATCCATCAATTTTGCCATTCAAACTTAAAATGAAACGGAGTGTATCTAAATAATTATTAATGTTTACCCTCTATGACTATATTACCGCCTCCGAAAACAGACCCGCAGAGGTAATTAAATTAAATTAATCGTCGAAACTGGACGTTCTTTCATTTCTTCTTCTCTGTTTTTTTTTCTTTCTATTTTCGTTTCCTTTCAATTTTATTGCGAATTTTTGGTTTCTAGTTCAGTTTATAGTGTAATTAAAATATTGAGCGCGGCGTGGAATAGTATTCAAACGTTAGCACTGCATTCACAATTAGCCATTGTTTTCAAATCACATCGATGTGATCATTAATACCGACAAATATTTCAAGCATTTTTGCCTCTGCATGTGTGCCTCTCTCCCTCTCTTTCTTCACATTTCTTATCCAAGGATGGTGATTAAGCGGAGGAGGTGGAGATGGAAGACAAAACAAAAGACAACCATTTGTTCACACGCTCGCCGGAGGGTCGATAATTAATCGAATGTACATTCTCTCATTCCGCTGATCAAGAAGCACACAGAATAATTTGACGAAATAGTGACAAGTTTCGATCATCATCAATGATTATTCATTGGTCGGTACGGTCGCCGCGCTCGATTGATTTACAAAAAAAAATGCATCTTGTCTCTTAATATCAATCTTCCGTGTGAAATGCGCGTCAAATTTCCATCCATCAAACACCTATACTGTAAATCCCACGAATCTGTGCTTTAATTTTTTTTTATTCATCGCATCATCGTGTGAAAATAACAACATTACTCATCTAATTGCATCAACTCGATATATACGGCTCAAATTTCAATTTCAATTAGAACATAAAAATGTCTTCTAAAGAAATCTCGATTCGAAAATGCGAATTTTTTTTCGGTTTATCTGAAACGAATTTTAACGCTTTAAAATTCAGTAATTCAATAAAAATTCATGTTTGGTCGTTGGTATTTAGTGCAATAGGTTAAATCGCATGCAACAAATAGAGTTAAAACAATGGCAATCGAATTTGATCTAATGAGTTTAATGAACGTGTGGGAAATTTTTTATACTTCAATCTAATCAATTAGAGATGGTAAGTGGTCGGTTTCCATCAAACAATTTCCAAACAACAAGAACAACAAAAAAAATGAATAAAAACTCTAAACAAACCGCAACCGAAACAAAAACAAAGAGATAGAGAGACGAATTAAACCAATCTAAATTTGTTAATCGTGGGATTTTACCTTTACTTCCGATAATTTTCGACCTGATACTTTGGCGGTTATTAGATTGGCCAGGGGCGCGTGAAGAATTAAGTGTGGAACTGCGAGAAATAAATTTAATTTTCATTTTCTCCATCGTCCTTATCTCTCTCTCTCTCTCTCTTGGTGTTATTCACAAAGTTTATTCCTTTTTAATTAATCATACATTTGTGTAGTTCTATTCAGCAAGCGTTTCGTTTAAAAACATGTGTCCCAATTCATCGTCATTGAAACTTCAAATGCTTGAAAGTTTGCTCATTCAAGAGTTAGTGAGAGTAAAAGCGTGAATTGAGTTTGATTTTTAAAGCAGAAAAGAGGCAGAAAATTCACTCATTTTCTCTGGCACGTTCTGAACATAGAGCGCGAACGAAAATTCTTTGAATTGAAGTGCTTTACAAACGGCATTTTGTTTCGATGCAAATATAATTGAGACACAGAATCCAGAGATAGTTGAAAAAGAACTTTTCCATTGAATGAAAAACGTGAGTTTGCGATGTAAATGACAAAGCCTCTCAGCACACACACACACACACATAGTCACACTCATTTATGCTAACACGAACAATATTTAATTGTGATTGTTGAATGATGACAACGATACGATGTATCTGTGCGATAAGAAGTTTCCCATTCAAATTATTTGCGCTTGTTTTTCGATCTCTCAACTCGAACGCATGCGATAATGAGAAAGTTGAGGCATATGGAAACAACCATTTTTAAAAATAGGTAAACACTATGCGCTTTTATTGTTCAAATGTTGCACAGAGAAACTTTTTGTTTGATGTATGTGTATTGTAATGAAGAGAAAAAGAACGAGAGATAGATTGAGTTAAGTAAAGAAAATTGACAAAATGATGACATACTCGTTGCGATAATAAGTAAAACTGTTTCCGTTTCTCAATCGGTATAGGGCTCTTCGATTCTTTTTCATATTCCACTTCTATCTTCTCTCAAAAAGAATCGTATCATCAGAAGTTTCTCATTTTAATTTGACTCTTAGACAGAACTTTAGAGTCAATCAACTTTGACTTAAGTTTCACTGCAAAAAGAAAAAAAAAACGAAAAAAAAGTGAGAAACAAGAAGTAAAAGTCTAAGTCTTGCAAGAAAGTTGTGAAATAATGAGTTGTTAAATCAAAAGTTTGTAATAAAAAAAAATTAAAAGTTTTTTGTAAATGGGATTTTGCTGGCAAAAGTTCACTTGTAAATGATATTAGTCAAAGGAAATTGTTTGATTTCCCAATGAATTATATGGTCGCCAACTTTAGATATTTACATATTTTTAACGTTTGTCGTTTTAGCCGATATTTGTTCAAAATTTTGGCACTTTAAAAGTTTTCGTAATTTTGGGTGATAACACAGTCAGAGGAAAGGGAATAAGAAGCGGCCACCAAGAAAGAGTTGGATGAAATTGCATAGAATTCGAATTAAAGAATTGTATAAAGCCATTTTGATGGTGATTGGATTCGCGCGCAGAATTGCTACCCCTTCGAAATAACTCGAAACAATGTCTCTGTGTGTGATATTTTTATTGGCTCCATCTTCTATTTACCATGTGACAATCGGTCGCACAATTCGAACAATCTTTTTCTTCTTCTTCTTCTTCTTCTTCTTCGTTTGTTCGTTGTTTTTTCTCGTTAAATTTGAATGTATGAGTGTGTGCATAAACTTCTTTCCATATAATCAAGTGCAATAGGCAACGCCACATGCTTGGTGCTTTGGAAAATTTGGCGGGCAATGTAAGAACAACATCATATCAATATAACATAAAACACCATAAACCATTCACACACACACATACACCATCATAAATGGAATTGCGCGCATGTCTCGCAACTGATAAATTTCAACATTGAAATGACCATTTTTTATTTATTTTTCATTGATATAAAATCCAATTAATAATTCTAACAAAACCAATTGTAATTAAAAACGAAAACGAATTTAAAAGGTTTTTAACGCAAAAAAAACAAAACGATTGAACATGTTTGTAAAAGTGGAAATTCATTTTAAGCATATTCATATTATAACGCACACACAGAGAGAGAGCATAGCCATAGTAAATGTTGAGAGACAGATAGGGATATTTCCCCATTAAGATGGATGGAGAGACGCAAAAGATACGCGCAATACGCAATATAAGCACCAATACCAATGGATGGCAATATATATATATATATTACATGGGTTAGGGGTTCAATATTTGCATGTATGCGTGCACTAAAGCCAAAATTTATACATAGATTTTCCGATTCAGTTCGTACATCGCGCGCGTTTATCAGGCGAATGATGGTTATTTTTTTTCGTCTTCTTGTGTATGAAATGCTTTAACAATCTCGTTGTCGTTTTCATCCGAACTCGACTATATATTATTCAGTTTTATTTTTTGTCCCGTTTCAATCGGTTCGACCATCGTCTACCATAAAACAGTCTCGGAACAGTCTATCACGCGAATGTTCAATGTGCATATTTGTTAACATTTTTCATTGTCATCGCAAGCCGAAGACTGTGCAAATGTGTGTGCGTTGTTTTCCGCGTCGTCATCACCGAAAAACAGAAGCTGTACGAGAGGTAATCACAATCACATCTCTTCTAAATATCAATACAATTTCATTTAATTTTGTTTTTGATTTGAATTTTTGTGTTCTTTGACATTTTCGAAAAATCGTTCATTTTTTATCGTGATTTTCAAAACCAATCATTAAAAAAAAAAACGGAAAATTGGTGAAATCGTAAATCAGTTTAAGTTTAGTGTGGAATCGATTCAACGGTGCTGATGTATATCATAAATTGACTCTGAAAAAGGGAAACACATTAGGCCCGTAAAAGTCTACTCGACATTCAACTTGAATGACAAATACAAAAAACAAAATCATATATAAATCAGACAGAAGAGAAATCAAATGTGAAAGGGAGCAAAGAGCAGATGAGCGTGAAATAAGCGAGAATATCTCGTTAAATAGGAAAATCTTTAAAGATGATACTAGTAAAATATTCATGACAATCGTAATGGCTCTGGTTGGTTTAAATGTTTTATCGTCGCTTTGAAAGAGAACAAGTGCCTATGCTTTGCCCTTGTAGTTTGCCTATTATTAATTTTTTTTTATTTCGTCGTCGTTGTCATTGTCATCATCGTAGTCGTTGTTATTCTGTTCTATGTCTCAAGTCATTTGCATTACATTCAATGTTTTCGAGATTCAGTTTTCGATTCTTCCATTTGCCTGGAGATGTCAATTGTTTGTGTGTGCGTGCGCGTGATTTGCATATTGGTTCGTGTTATTTAGATGATGGGGTTTGAATAAATTCTTACAATGCGATTTGCCAATTGTTGTTATCTTCTTATTCGCTTCCTCTTCACCGAATCACATTAAAATCAAGTGATAATTATGATATCGTTCAGCAACGAACAGAAATACACACTTGAGACTTTGTCTTTATTGGATGTGAATTGCATCAAACGATAAAGTAGCTCAATCGTTCTTTTTCAACCATCTCTTTTCTGTTTGAGCATATTTTCATTGTTTGCTTCATACGAGTGTGAGTACGATATTCGGTTAAATTTTTTCCAGGAAATGATTGCCTTGAAGACAAGGACAACAGGTTCATTCAAAATAATGATCGAAGAAACGACATTTGCGTGAGTGAATTACGATTTTGAATTCATTGTAAATGAAAGTGTGTATAAAACGGAAGTGCACTTGGAAATTCCATCTGAACAAATTAATTGAGTTTTAGTTTTGCTTAGAGAGAGAGATGCAGTCAGGGTCGAAAATGCCATTAAGAATTTTCATTACCAATCAATAATATCGACGTCATTGCAGTGGAAGTGCGATTGGTACTGCCGCTGCTGCTACTGTTGCTGTGTGAGTGCTGTTCTCTCTCAACGTTTTTTTTATTCCTCTTCTTTTAATTTTTGACCATGTGATGTTGCGTGTTCTGTGTTCTCTTGCTGTGGACTCGATAAATTTGCTGCATAATATGGATATATGCGCTACAACAGGCCAATAATAGATAGCAAAATATCGATATACACCATCAATCAATTGCCGCATCATTTATTCGTGCACGAAAAATTAAAATGGAACTGCCAATCAAACTCGGGATAAATTACAAATAAAACTTATTACACCAATGATACGTGTGCACATTGGCCACTGGCCACAGTATCAAACATTTTTCGGCACCATTGTTGGTGCCACTGTATGTTTCTGTATCTAACGTTTGTTTGGAATATTGTGTTTGGCAAACGATTGATGAAAAAAAAACGTAAAGTGACCGAATGTATCTATTATATGGTTTGATGTTCGCTCTTTCTATCGCAAAATTGCCAATTTTTGTTTTTGTAAAATATTGAATGTGAATGTTCGCATCGGTATTTATTTGCGTTCGATGCTCGAGAAACGGACAATTGGACAGAGAGTGAGATATTTATTTTGTACCCTTTGTTTGTTTGCTTACTGCTTTTACTACCAACAGTATAACCATTTTCTTTTTCGAACGATATTATTTCGCTCACATGCGTGTCGAATGCGAAACCATTTGACTGAGTGCATTTTGCACATTTAAACGCTGAATTCTCGATTATTATTTCATCTTCCTCTCTCTCTCTCTCTCTCTCTCTCTCTCTCTCTCTCTATCTCTAACTTATAATTCTCGTACAGTATACAAAAGCCGTTACAGACTATATGTTTGTGTACTGGCAAACGAAATTGGGCGCGCGCTTGTTCGTTCACTCGCTCACTTGCTTGCAGCCCCCATTTTCAATCCCATTTTATCGCACGAACAAGCAAGGATTTCAACCAAACAATAACGTTAAATGCAACTCTTGCTCAAACTACTGCTACATCAAGAATAAATAACATTAAATTGAAATATCTCATCAGACCGTATACAGTATACACTGTACAGAAACCATACAACGGATTGCATGCTCTAACACGCGAAAACCAAACACTGAGCGCAAAACGAACAAGGGAAGATGATGACGCTAAGGGAGTTTTACGATGCCTGCTGTCATCTTTTTTTTTTATTCGGGGTTAGTCTGTGAGTCTGTCGTAATCCGAAGACACATTAAATACGGCTCAAAAGGAACACAATGAAATATTGTTATATTAAGGAAGTGCTTGGTGATGTTCTTACCCGAGACGCATTCACTTTGAGTACGATCTAATGACGGAACACAAACACTTGTCATGTCACGTTGATGCCATTGCTATCGTCGTCGTCGTCGTCGTCGTCATTCGTTGTTTTTGTCGAATAAAAACGGCTATTTCCTTATGCAAACATCAACTCATTCACTCACCCGAATGGGTTTGTTGACAACCTTCGAATTTTCAGTTAGAAAGTTAAAACTTCACACTCTTTCACCCGCTCTCACTTTTCACCTACACTCACATGCTCCCTTCTAAATTTTCTTTTCTTATGTTCATTCTCGCTATTGTCCTTAAAACATCGAATTCGAAAAGAATTGCTTCGAAGCTTTCGCATATTTCGATTGTTGAAAATCTCGCACATTTTCACATTTTGCATACTAATTTTGGTTTGTAATCAAATTAAAAAATTTAATCAATTAAATGCGTTTTGTGTACTTTGTCATGAGTTTCAGTTTTCTCTCGTGTGACAATTACGACCAATATATCACCACTGTATGTTGTGCCTTCAAAATTTTACCAGCTTTCAAAGAATAATGCGAACCAGAGAGAAATATAGAGTCCAATTAAACATTTTAGATTGTTGATTAAATTCAATGCTTTGATATTACGTTGTCAACGATTTTGTTATAAATTCCAACATTTTCGCATTCTCTCTCCCTTACTGATAACATATTTCGTCTTCATGCAGCCAAAATACATATTAATAAAATTTCGATATTTAATAAACCGCCGCAGCAGCAACGCATTCATCACATCTGTGTGGTTAAATGATTTAATCAACAACATTTCTAAAGTTCAAGGCACTTACGGTTATACGTTTGTTTGACATGTGTATCGGTGTTGTATTCCAACCGAATAAAATACTTCCGATCTTCAGCTTTTGACACGTTCTACCATCGTAAACATGAACGAAATAACTGATGCTATCTCTGTCTATCTATTTCAATTTTCGATGCAATGCGGAAATTGCGGTAAAGGGGATACAGATTGAGCAAACGAAAGCACATACTTTGTTAAATTCTTACCGATTATGAACAAAAACCACACCGTACGAGCGTTAAAATGCATGAGGCATGAGACAAAGTTCAAGGTAAACATTCAACAATGAAAAATACAATCGAAAAATACTTTTCTCTGTGGCAGCAGTAGCAACAGTAAACAAATGAAGAAAAAAAACAGAAGAATAAGTGAAAAAATTAACATGAAAATTCAACCACGAGATGAAGAAAAATGTACATGGAAGATTGTAAATATATTTAATCGGGATTACGATAAAAATTAAATGCAATTATGATAACAACATAATATCGTTAGGAATGATGGGTATTTTCAAAGCCGGCAAATAGTAAAATATGAAAGAAAAGTGGAATATGTGTGTGTTTAAGGAAAATGGAGAGAGAGAGAGAGACATTTGATGTTTTCGGTGTGCGTGTATCGAATTCGCAATTTGTGTGTTCAGGTTCACTCTCAACAACAGCATTATATTAGAAGCTGTGCTTGTTCATGTAGAAAATACAAGTGCAAAATTAACATTTTGTCTTCGTGTATTCTCATCTTTATTTTTTCATTCTCTTTTGTATCTCTTTTTTTTCTTTGAAAAGGGGAAAACGCGTGACGACATTTCTTAATTACAAACCGTGTGTGCTGGAAGTTACATAACAAAGAAGAGAAATATACATATTCACTCACTCACAATACCGAGAAGAAATTGAAGAGAAATAAAACACAAAACTGAAGTACTACACAGTTAGAGAAAAGCAAGCTATCAAATTAAAGTGAAAAAAGCAGCAGCAACAACAACAATACAACAAGAAGAGAAGAGGCGACAAAGCAGCCTATAAAACACAACATGCATGGCTATCCTGTGATGCAAGTCGTTCAATATAGCGTTCCGCCATGCTCTTGGCCACCACCAGTCGATTCGCATCGTTCATCGCAGCCAACATCTGGTATTTTCACAATATTCTACTTTAACATACAAAATAATCGAACAAGAGAGAGAAAAAAAATGCAAAACGAACAGTGTAGAATAGCGAAAAGTAGATGTGTTTGAGAGAGAGAGAGAGAGAGAGAGAGAGAGAGAGAGAGAATGATACAGAAGAACAAAATCCCAATTTATTTGATATATTTAATTGTAGTCCTGTGCATGTTACCATGCACTTAACTGCATTATTTTTTCATGTTTTTGTTGTTGGCCATGTAATTGTGGCGTTGTTTGTATTGAAATGATGTTGTTTCAGACCGAAGTGCGTCGTTTTAACTTTTTTTCTGCTCGGTCAATTGGAATACCGCGATTTAGTTCCCAAATATTGTTTCTTTTTTCTAAGCTCGTTTGTTTCTTCTACATTTCTATTATCTATTTATATTTTTCAAATGTTGTTTTTTTTGTTGTTGTTACAAATTTTAATGGGATGCAGCACTGCTGCAATATATCTTCGGTTTTTGTCATATATTTTGTACGGTAATTTGTGGCAGTTGAACTAAGTGAGACAGGCAAAAGTGAGAAAGTGAACGAGTCAACGACAGAAATTGAGAGAATAAATAGAAGAAAGGGGGTTGTTCGAAGAGCAAAGAAGAAAAAAATGCGATTTCACAGTTTTCAGTGCATATGATTGTGCAATGGTAGATGTTGTGACAATGTGATATGTTTCCTATATGCAAAGCATGCCATAGCAAGTGCATCAATTGTATCCTATTGCACATGTAATACAAAATGCATGAATTCGCAACATCAGCCGCAAATACACTCTCTTTTCCTTTCTTCGGAGTGAAAAATGATTCGAAAAAGCGTCTCTCTTTAAAATATCCAAACGATTTTTCTCTTCATCGTTTGACTCGGTTGCTCCCTCGATCAGCTCTAGCTTTTGCTCACTCACTGTATTCTGTGTTCGGCTAAACGTTTTGCATATACATATATGATTTTGGTGTATAGAATGTATGTGCGCACGTTGAGTTGAATATATTGGCAAATTAATCGTGATAAATGGCACACTATTCGAAAATATATATATATATATATATATATTCTTTTCTCCACAATTTTCGGTTGGTTGGTTGTTGCTGTTTTTGTTGTCGTCATTTTGTGGCGTTGTTGCGCTGTTTTCGATGGTACTTCCGCTCAAACTCTGAAATATTTAATTTTGTGTCGCTTTGAGCGTGTTGTAAATAGTATATGCATGTGTTCCATAACTACCACCATCGTCGTCACCGCCACTATCGAAAAACAGGCACGCATATTCTTTCTCTATTAAATATGCACCGTTTTTTTCTTCTTCTTCTTCCCCAAGCCATTTAATATTGTAGCATTAGTAAAAATATAATTTGTAAGCGAAAATAAAAACCTTGCGGAAAAATGACCAAGATGCGATGCGAAAAAAGCAACACCAACATAAAAAATAGCAAAATTGTCGGCCACTGTTTTGCCTCTGCCTTTTTCCATATTCTAGCTCGAATATTTGGGATTTGACGTGAAAATTTATACGCTTTCATGTATATCATTTTTAATATTACACATATACTGGGGTGTACACTGTACACATACAGTGTGCTTTACGTCGCATCGCATCTTTCTTATGGTCGTTGCCAATTATGCCATTATTATGTTACACTTCTTTGGTTATGTGTTGGCGCATTTTGATTTCTCTATCACTATATCACTTGAATGTGTTGCATTTTTCCTTCCATTTGCTTTGAATTTTTTCTCTCTTCGAATCAGTAGTTGTTTTTTTACAATTGTTTGTTTGAAATGTTGCAAGCATTTAAGCTTCAGCACTTCCACAAAGCTTTGCACGAATTGGAAAAGAGTGCTTTCAGAAAAAAAAAATATGTTTTTCCGATTCATTTTGTACAATGCATGCTTATGACACGGTCTTGGTATTTGTTTTGAAGGGTTTTTGTCCTGTGAGTGTGTGTCTGTTGTCATTTATACTTCGGTCTGGCTATGCGTTATGCGATTTGCATTCAATTCTATTTTCATTTCTTTAATTTTTTTTTCTTTTGCATTATTTTCTCTTCATTATGCTCAAAATACATAGTATCACCGCGAGCTGGCATTCGAAAATATGTTGTATGGTGTTTAATATGCGGCGGACTATCATGTCTACTTGGCATTATGTTTCTTGGCGTATATTTTCTGGTACGATCATACACAAGCACAATTGGCTATTTTGAAACGATTCCAACATTCGTTCCCGCAACACTGGTAAGTAAATTCCATCATGTTTTCTCTTTATATAAGCGAATATAGTTTCAATTCATGCCAATTCATCAACATTAATTTCTAATTCGTTGCTAATGTATTAGCAATGCATTTTGGTTGTAAACATTTGCAATGGCGAATGAAGAAAAATGTGAGACAACAATGACAACAATGTTTCAATCGAACATTGAGAAAGACAATGTTTGCTTCGAAAAGTTTATTTTATTATTCTTTTAAAGTCAAGTTTTTCAAGAAAACTGCACTATTTTAAGAGCCAAACCCATACATAAAAACAACCAAAAACGTTGAAAGTATTTGGTAGAGCAATTTTCCCAAAATGTTCACTATGGTTAAAACTGAATAGAGATGAAAAAGAAAAGAAAAGAAATCGACCACCCCAATTCGATGATGTTCGAACAAATATTGCTGATGAAGCAAATAGCGTGCAAATGAGATAATTTCATTCATAGCATAGTTGGGTTGGTGTGTGCAACTTTTTTTGCGTCGACATTTTCTTAAAATTAAATACGGCGACAACGGCGACGATGTATTCAAGATATTGGCTCGAAATTCTCTTCTTCAGTATATCTACATCAATTTAATAGACAGTGTCTATTAGACGCACAGAGCCAAAATAGTGTTGAATTTTGTGCTTCAATGGCTAGGCCAACTTAAAATCTTTGCGAATGCTTGCCATATTCAATATCATTGGAATTCAAAATGTATTCGTTCACACACATATCCAGTTACGGGACCAATATATTAATCCATATGATATCATAATCATGATGGAATGAGTTGTGTGCCCATGCATGTATGCATATAATTCTATATCTAGTCGGGATTCGGTTCTTATCCATTACAGAAGTAAACTTATGCCGCCAGTTGCTGAATTCTCTCTCTCCCTCTCTCTCTCTCTTCCCGCCGAACGGCACCGAAAAGAATTTTTGCATGCATGCTTTATATGCATCACACAATCATGGAATATGGATGAGCATGATAATGTTGGTTGTATGTGTACGAGCATTTGTTTGTGTCTGATATATCCAGTATGTGCTTTTATCTTATTAAATAAATGAAATAAGTGGCATACATATAAGCTTCACCTACATTGTCAGTTTTATGTTGAAAATCAGTGCAATTGGAAATATATATTTTCCGATGATGTTTTTTTTATGTACTCTTATTGAAAAAGCCAACCAGTATATTGCACATATGCAAACAATTATGTTTTTATTAAATGCGAGAGGGATCTTTTGCCATTGGAAAGACGGAATTTAATGAAACCATTTACAATTGTATTTGAAATTCAGTTTGAGTATTGAGGAACATTTTCTGTAAACAGTTTAATTTGTCGAAAAAGTGATCTCTTGTTTGGCTTTTTAATGCATAATTGGACACACACTATAAACGCCACTTTTATGACTTACCACAATTGCATAATGTAATTTGCATTTTATGCGACACAGAAGGTGATAACGAGAAAAAACACTTCTTCTCGTTCCTTCAATGGGTTGAAAATATGGCAACCGAAAAACAATTACAAAACATGATTTTCAAATAAAGGCGACGAAATTCAAATAAATTATATAATGCTCCCGACTATCATTGATGTTCCGTGAATGAAGCACACGTAACCGACACAGAAAACAGATAGAAAAACACACACGCTTTTTGAGCACATAAATTTTACGCGGCATGAGTTGTATGCATTGTGCAATTCATCTGGTTATTATTTTACTTGAAGGAAATGAATAAATTCAACTTTTTCAACCGAATGTTCTTCGGTTCTTTTTACTCTTTCTCTGTCACATATTTTTAAATATTTTTTTTCCCTCTGTGTATATTGTTTACTGACATGAATATTTCAAGTTAAACGAAAACAAAAAGTGAAAATGTTCAGCAGTGATATGGAAAGCAAGCGTTGTGTGTACTGAATATGGTCTTGAGTTCAAATAATGCATGTGAAACAAATCCTGATGGGACACACACACATCGAGAGAGAGAGAGAGAGAGAGAGAGAAACTAGTTTTCAGAAAAAAATGAGGGAGTTTTAGAAAAAGAGCGACTAAAATTTTTGTGTTCATAAGAAAAACAACAACAAAAACAAAAGCAATACAACTGAAAAAAATTGAATGTATTTAGATGTTTATATGCGCAAAGTTATGTAAACTCTAACGGGAAAAACCCGACCACTTTTCTAAATAAGTTCGTGATGTGGTTGGACGGTTATATTGCGCTAGCTATGAGTGGTTCGAATTGGAATATCTTGACAAAATGAGTTGAACATTGCTATTGCGTGCATTTATGCATTTCTATTTGCTCAAATATAAACTTTATCTACTTTGTTCAACCACTGTTAAATATTTAATTTTTATATCACATGAGTACTGTTTTCGCTTTTTCCACTTTGTTGCATATCTAATATGTTGAAAATTCACACCAATCAAAATTATTATTATTTTTTTCTGTTTCCTGTCTATTTTCCATCTTCTTTCCGCTCACTCGGAAGTCCTTCTGTCTGTATCAAGCACACTTCAAAATATAAACCACATTTTTCAATTTCAATTGGGATTTATAGTATAGCAATAAAAAAAAATGTCAAATAGCGCCTATTCAACGTGCTGCTGAACTGTTTATGGAATCTTTCAAGGAATAGAAGCCATACACGATTACAAACTTCTTTTACCTCGATTGAAATTTCGACTTTAACTCAGTTTTAAATTGAATGGATTTTCTATAGAAAAGTTTCTGGTTCATCGTTTTATTTGTTCTTCGTTGTCATTTTTTTGTGTTACTTCAATTTTATTTACCAAAACTTATACCAAATTATCCAATTTTAGTTTAGTTGCGAATATTCAAAGACTTTTTTGTCGAAGAATAAGGAAGATTTTATGGTGGAAAATTCAATGTTTCCGTTTCTCACGAAAGTACGTTTTGCTTGCACATTGACTCAATTTTTTCAATTCGGTTTTGCTGCCCTCTATTTTACTGAGATTTTGGTCGCGCTGATTGCAACAAATTTTTGGTGCTCATTTCATATTATTGCAATACGTCACACATACACACATGCAGCAATCGATATCTGCTGCATATTTTATGCTAAAGGAATGTTGTTCATGTCAATATTGAATACAAGAGCGACAGCAAATGTGTCCAAGAGAGATGTGAAAAAAACCCACACGAGACGCTGCACCCACGCAGCGAAGAATCAGGTCGTTGAATGAGTGACACCGATTGGAATTCTGATGGAAAACGTGAAGTTTCGTTCATAAATTTTAAATTTTGATGCATCCCATCTCAATTTTCCGCTCACTCTCTTTCCCCTTTTCGAACCAAATCCATATAGTCTAACATCTCATACCCTCAATTTATTCGCACCATTATGTAATCAGCCATATCTCTTCACGCCACTCTCGATCGATGCCAATCACTTTTCATTCGCTTACTCAGTCGCCTGATCTTCACACGATGTGTCACATCACGCAATAATAATTCTTCATTTAAACAAGAATCTACAAGAAACAAGAATTTCAATTTGTGTTAAAATTCTTGGCACTAATTCTACACATTGTAGATAGACGCGTATGGCCAAGAAAGTGATTCCGATGCATATTATTTGCATATACATTCACTCATCCATCGGTAATCGTTATCAAAACATAATACCAATGCAATGCCATTTTGAATCAGCTTAATCATATGAATGTTTATTTGAATATGAATTATAAGCTCATATTAAATATAAAATCGATTAAAATGTAGATGAATTGGTGGAAATGATTTCGGAACTAATGCAGCGACAACATTAAAAGCACCAGCAACAACCACTGGCGGCTCTGGTGGCTCAATGTGCAATTGAATTCTCTAGAATAAATACAGCGTATGATACGGTCGCACACCAAAGGTTGTTTTTACATACATTTTTTGCTGTATTTTGTATGACGGTGTTTCGCTTTGAAATGCAACCTTTTCATACGATGTTTTTATTCTAAAGCAATCAATTATATTATGCATGATTGTTGCAAAATTGGTAAATCGCTTTCCAGTTCATTAGTTCAATTGAAAATTGTGTTACCATATTGTTTTGAAAGTGCTCGGAATATTCACAATTCGTGAATATTCAATTCCATTGAATTACGTTTGGAAAAACAATAACTCTTAATTTGAGCACATGAATAAATCAAGTATGTGATGAAAAGGGAACATTTTCGGGAAATTTTATCGAAACAAGAAAATGCATTACTATTCATGCTTTTATTGATTGCTTAACTGAGGTGATTTCAATCAATTATGCCTCTAATTCAAAGATTAAATATTTTCACAAAACAAACCGAAGGAAAAGGAAGAATTAAATATTTAATTTGGAGTCAAAGTCTCAACGTGGTGATAATCTGCAAGCCATTTATTTTCAAGCAAATCGACTGTGGTCGATATCCAATCGAAAGCATTTCAATTTCTCAATTTCTCTCTCTAAATATTTTAGTTAGGTGCTTGATATAATGTGTGCATTTATAAAGTAACTGTTCGGTTTACGCGTGGTATTTGTATTACCAAGAATACAAACGTTTCCGGTATGTGCCAAATACAATCATCGAGACAGTATTTGCAATGACAATAGGATTTATGACATGTATCATATTTTTAAATACATCGCCACATTGGGTTTGGTAAAAAGCGAACGAGTGATGTAAGCAAAAAGAAACTAAAAGAGCGTCGATTTTTATGATCAGCGTTTATGTTACCTTTGGAATCAGCCCACAAACACGTTTGGCCTTGTCAATGCTTTTTACCTCCCTCAATAAAAACGTACATCGTATAACTTTCAAATTTAATGGATTTATGAATCGGCGAGTTTACACAACAACAACAAAAAATGTTCGCCACAAATAAAGTATAAATCGTTGTATGCAGGTACTCTTTTTTTCATTTCTCATTCGGCATCGGCACACAATCGTTTTGTTATTTATTTTTGAATAAATATGGCAATGGTGCTCTTGCAC